CGATAAAAACATCAACATAAGTAAGATATTTCCTTTGTGCTGATTATAAAAGTAGAATAAAAATAAACGTGTTAAAGCGACGCTATTATTTCTATACAATACACTAAAAGGAGAAAGAGCACGAATCAGATGTCATTTCTCTTGCTCTGCTTGTATTGATAAGCATACTGACGAATCATCCAAGGGGGAAATTATGGGTTGATTCGTTGTAGCCATTGAGTAATGCCTATAAATAAAGTGAGGCTATTATATTATGTGCCATACGCGTATCGTATTACCAAACAAAATCGTCTATGACAAGGTGAAACCAGGAAATATTAAGAGAATTCCAGACAATTAACATGATTAAGTAGTAAATCCTATATAACAAGGGACCCTGATGACTTGCTTTGACGTAAGGGTAAAAACACCGGGAAACGGCAACGATTGTAATGCATATCGTAATACTTAATCTAATTTAACTCACTAATGTAGAATTGTTTGTAATAGTGTGCGTGTCAAAACTAAAAACGTACATAATAACCATATAACATCTATTCAACGAAGTATATTATAAGCTTGTCATAATTTAACACAGCTTTGTGTCTGCCGTGATATTTAAATGTGTGCACGACTAGAGATTTGCCTTTCACCTGTCACCCAGTCGGCAACAATACTGACACAAACCATTTAATATTTGACAGAATATTGATGTCAACGAGATAAGCAGTTGGCGGCCAATTGTATACAGTGTGTCCTATACATATATTTTAAGCTAACACAATGATTTAAAATGAAAGTTTTCTAACCTGTTACATTCAAGAAAATAAACTCTTCAAGGGGATAGTCTGGACCAAATCCTGTAACTCGGCACGAGTATGCGTCAGTGTCATTAAACACAGTATCGTTTATCTCAAGCGTGCCATGGTCGATGATTCTATGTCGATCGTATCCGTCGAAAACAGTCATCAGTCCATAGTACGTAAGAGACACCACATCGTCACGGTCTCCAACATCTGCATATGCTCCTTTATACCACGTAAGTGTCCAGCTCATGTCGCCATCACTCGAAAACTCAGCAAGGAGTTCAGCTGTATCACCCAGTCCCACAGTCACGTCTGGTCCTACCACAAGCGCTGGATCAGACTCTGTTGATATAATCACACATTGATATCGTAATATGCAGAACAACGCCGAGTAGTATGATAATCAAAACACGATATTATGATTCAGTAAACATTGCACTACGTACTTATTTCTTTAACACATGAAGACAAGAGGAATGCAATCACCAATATAGCAGAAGGCAAGCTGTGTGTGAAAAGCATACATGAGGCCATGTTGCCTACCGTACTGTGACTATATCGCAACGGTGGTCACGTGACCAACTTAAAATAAATAGTGACACCAAATCGCATGAATCATGGATCTGCCATATGCGCAGTTTAAAGGTAACAATGTTGTATTTCGTGGCAGTGTCTCCAAGACAAAAACGTTCTCCAGCTAAAAATAGTTGCAACGTTGCTAATTTTGGTTGTAAATGCAAAATAAGGTTTTAGAAACACAACATTGTAGTTTGCGTTTCCGTGAAACAATTTGCAACAATCAGCTATTACAGCTATTAGTAACATTGCAGCCAGAGGTAAAAAAAAACAGTGCCATACACAGCGCTTGGTGAATTTTTTTACTTCAAACTCATATTTATATTGAACGCGATGCACGATATTACGTATAATAATCTGTTGTGTACGCTGTTAACATATTTACCTTAACATTAATGTAGTGAATTTCAAAGTATGTAGTAGTATTTATAGTTCTTATTGATTATATTGGTTGGGAACTACTTACTTATTTTACATGCTATTTTGTTTGTAAGTATACTAATTTATTATTCAATTTGGTATGTTATTAAGAGGTACAATGGCAGGACAGATACTACGAAATAAGACAACAGTCTGAGCAAACCGTGTGGTGTCAGTGGACGTGGATGATAAATCCTCCTCTGCGTGGTGTGCATGGTACTCTCCTAGCCGACGGACGTTGTGTAGAGACAGTGGAAAACTAGACTCGTATAATACGAATAGTTCCACGCACATTATATGTTCAGCAAAATAATCTAAAAAAAATAAATAATCAAAATAATCAGTTCTCCAAAATAATCTACGAGAAACCAGGCATGGGTATCAAACAGAATCAACGTGAAGCAACGTTTCAACAATAGCACGACAGAATCAGGTAATTATTGCACTCTTTACACACACATAGTACTTATAATTATCAGTTGTGTTTTGAATATTATTTTTAAGTAATTATTTGTGCAATTCATTGGCGAAAATATTGCATTCTTATTTGCAGGAGCTCTGAAATTGTAATAGCATTTAGTTTAATTGTATTTTATAACTCCGTTTCCTGCTTCAAGGCCGTTAAATAGTGATGTCGTTCTGTATGCATGTGTGGTAATTTTTCTATGGTACAGTAAATGTATGTTCCCCTGTATACTATTGATGTCGTAAAACGCACTATCAACACATTTTTTGCGACATTATTGTGTATTTCATTCTGTGCGAACGGGTGTGCTACTTTAATAATGTATGCCCGGGCCAACAACTCACCAGCTACCTTAGTTTGATATAAGTGTAAATGGTGTTAAATAACCCACAATGCGAGATAAATAAGGTGTGCCTCTTATTACAACTGTGGTCGGATGCTAGCCCAACAACATTATTAGTTAAAATCAAACTCTCTGATAATAACCCCGAATTAACATTTGGTAAGAGCTTTTTAAGCCTGCCATTTCTAACCTGAACCCAATCATAACACTACCACCCAAGTGTTGTGTTCTCGCTGATAGTTATTTGTCTGGAGAAGTGCATATAAAATGGACAAAAATCAGAAAGGTTAGAACTAGAGTTAAATATCTTACATTTTTGGATAAAAACACATCAGGATCACATCACATTCAGGATAACAATGAGAGAAGCTAAATATTCGTAACTAAACTGTCAGATTGGTCAATTCAGACAAGCGAGTCCATATTTGCTATATTTGTGGTCTTATAATTGTATTAAGTTGCTATGTGAACTGGAGAAAATAACTGACATAATGTTAAGTATTCTATTGTTACCTAACGTATTCAAATCAGCGCATACATTGCGAATGGTGACTGAATGCAATTTAAAAATTGACGGTAGAGGAAGCACTACCCATTCTACAATCAACTGTATTATAATTTGACATAGCTATTGTTGCCAGAGAAACCAGGCTACGTCAGCGCTACATAGATGTTGTGAACACAAGCGTTCTATTCGGGGATCAGAGAACTTCGTCTCGCTTGGCTTACACGTAGAGATAATGGATTTGACCCAGTCGTTGGCACGATCACGTGATTACCAGGCATGTGTCTCACGGTTAAAGCTTTGTAAAGTTGCCACTACTAAATACAATAAATAAACACTTTGTTTATCAAATTCTTGTAATATATGTTTAAAATCTCCACCCCAAATATGCTAACCATTGTTGCCATAGACACCAGGCTACGTTAGCGCTGTATACATGATCATAATAACTATAAAACTATGTGTGACGGGCCTGTGCCTTAGTATAGTGGATAATGGTTGGGAGAACTATATTACGATGATATTTTTAATTTTTGACTTTCATTGTATGTGATACACTTGTATATATAGCGTGGATTGCACGGTTTGTCCCTATGTGACTCAATGGGCTGAGATTCCCCGGCCGCAATGTAATGTCGGTATGAGTCCCATGTCGTCCCAGTGATTCTGTTTTACCCACCGAGTTGGTAAAAATGCACATTGTGTTTGAACAGTATACGCACATATGATTCACGAACAATACAGATAATTTTCTCTGAGCGTGCACTTTCAATTGCCCCAGACACTAACAGTGTTCCGACATCGGTGGCTCTTGATGGGAAAATCATGAAACGCATGTGCGTCTGGACTGTATCAAAAAAAACGAAGATACACCAAAGTCAGTGTCGAAAATTATTTGATAAACGTTTGATTAGTGTTTCACACAACGCTGACAAATTTAACAGTAAATTTGTCAAAGAAACCAAAAAACAGTAGCACAAACTTAAGTAAAGACAAATATTTTGCACAGTTCTTCTTTAATCGTTCCCCAGATGTTTATAATGGACCACCTCTTATTCACATAGTCCGCATGGCATCACACCTGCAACAGTTTCAACACATTAACAAGGAACAATACTATGTAAAATTGAATGAATGAAAATCCCGCTTTTTATACATCATAATGGACTGTGATAAAGTATGATGACAACTCAAATGCATAAAAGCTATCAAACTTAATCAATGCGGTTACATTTGAGGGCAGCACTGTGGCGAAGACGTTGGGTGCGGTGGACGTGTATGTGGAAGTGGTCATGGATTCAACGATTTACATTGTCGAAATCGCAGAGATTGTAATTCGTGGTAGCCCACAATGTGTTCAATTTGTAATTCATTTACACGTTTTATAATAATTTCGACATGAAATTTCTGTTGAAAGAGGACGTGTGAACATTTGAATAAGAGTAGTTTAATGGAGGAATGTTGAATTGGTGGCAGCTTCAGCCACCGTTATGCGATGAACGACTGTCGTTTTGGAATAAACGAGCTTTTGTACCAAAAAAACTATCCCCGAGGTTGAGACTTGGAGAACCAATACGACGCTGAATGACCTGGCTGAAGACAGAGGGGGCGAATACAACATGAAACTTTGGACTTTGATTATAAATTAACATAATTTGACCAAATATAAATCTACTAGTAGTCCTGCGCATAATTATAGTACTCACGGCGCCTTTTAATCAGTATGTTGTTGGATCGCAGGTTACTGACGTTATTTTCGATTATGTTCACCAATTGTGTCATTGGTAAGTATTATTTCATAATTTTATTTTCTAACTTGAGTTGGCGTTGTGAATTTACCACGATTCCCAAATTATTTACAAATATACATGAGAGACTCTCTGAACACATTTCCTTCCAGAGTGTATGTCAGCTGTAGATGTGAATGTTCCGCAGCCAATCACATATGGACTTGTTGGATATGACACTACGTTGATTTGTGTATACAAGACTAACTTCACAAGGCCTATACTGACATGGTATGACGGATTCTCAGGCACAGATGAAATTATTATCCTCCAGGAGATGGACGGAGTTGTCTATGTTAACCCAGACTATCAAGACAGGTTTTCCTTGACTGGTCAAGCTAGTCTTCGGATTAATGACACACAACTTGGTGATTCAAATGACTATGAATGTGAAGTATCAGCTTGTGGTAAAATTGATCGAGGGAGTACATACTTGGCTGTGTCAGGTACATACAAGTTCTTGTCAGTTCTCTTTTAAATGCTGTCTTCTACCTAAATAATTCCATCACGATTATTAACTACACAGTGCATTACGAGTCATATATTGTCGTTTAAAAATGTTCATTGTCAAATTCTGCTATGCTTTATATGTATCTATTTATTTATCTATCTATTTATATTGTACCATTTCTCAGAATCCCAGTCACCGGATTGCACACTTCAGCACAATACGCAACCCGTGGAAGGTGATAATGTGGTATTAACATGTACCACCGAAGGAATACCGCCACCAACGGTGCAATGGTTCAAAGATGGTTATCTAATAGAGGAATCTGAACGGTATACATTTTCTGAAGATGGAACAGAATTGACTATACTCAATACTCAGCGAGTTGATAGTGGTGTATATATTTGTAATGTGACAAATTTAGTTGGATCGTCTTCGTGTTATGATCTAATCGATGTTTGGTGTAAGTATATTAAAGGATAAATTTATATTTTTATATCTGTGTTTGATATTAGGAAATATGGTAATATCCACATGTAGGTCACTGAATAGCTCAATTAGTTATATTATCATTGTCCCTTTTGTTATAATAATTTATGAAAATATATCCCTTGCAGATTTACCAAATGATGGTTGGCCAAACTGTACTGTATCTGATGAACCATCCACTGGCTATTTCCAGGAAGGAGAGCAGATTGTCATTACATGTGGCGCCACTGGAGGGAATCCAACTCCAGAATTGTACTGGCATGATGACAATTTTGAGCTAATGAATAAAAGTTGCTTCTGGAATGAGCAACATCCAATTTATGAGTTAACGATTTCTTCATGTACATGGGAACTGGAGTCTTCAGACAATGGACGTGTATACACGTGTACTGGTAAATCTGATGCATCTTCTGAGACGTATGACTGTGATACTGGGCAACTAGATGTTAAATGTATGTATAAAGTATGTTTTATAAATTACAAGTTGGCAACTTTTTTTTATTCACCACAATCATCATTTGATCATTACCATTATGTTCATACTACACTCGTAATAATGACACGATTGCACAACAACGACGAAATATGTATGATTTTATTTCATTTTATACATAGATGCCCCAGATAGTCCAACGTGTAACGTGACAGCAGAGAATAACTTATTCAAGGAAGGAAATGAAATTACTCTAACATGTGTATCATTAGATGGAAACCCACTCGCAACTCTGCAATGGGTCAATACATCTAGTGGTATGGTGATGACTGGAACTACACCGGGTCCTAACGACAGTGAGAGTATTGCAACTCATAGTTGGACTCTTAGCAGAACAGATAACACTGGTGTGTATGTGTGTGGAGCAACCAATATTATACAAACAGATCCTCTGATATGTAGCAGTGGACCACTAAATGTATCATGTAAGTAAAATGTTCTTGAATATTTGCAATATCAACACGGAACAACTAATTCGTTGTCTTTGTTTAAACATAGGTCAGGAAATTGTATTATTGTCACTTACGAATCATGAGTGAAATGAAAACAGTTAAATGCAGTACAAATTGTACTGAATAATGGATTTGATATTTTAATTATTAACAGTTGCTGCAATGGTCATATTATTATCGGAACCAAACAATCCTTACAAACGTGGTGATTACGTAACCTTGACTTGTACATCCAGTAGTAGTAACCCACCGTCATCCATTGGATGGTATCGAAATAATACATTAGTTATGAACAGCGATTACGAAACTGTTGTTGATACTGACCACATCGATGGTGAATATAGTGGGACCATCACCCGGCAAGAGTTTGAGATATATTTGACCGCTCAACACAATAGCGCTGTGTATCAATGCGCATCATTCCTGTTCGTAGACTACGAAACTGTTCGTTCAGACTACATAATATTTGATGTCTTTTGTGAGTAGGCAATATTTATACTATCTAGTTAGCTCGCTACGGTTTGATATAATTGTGTGGGGACTTGGGAACTATTATTATATAATAACATATTTTTAATATTGACGGCAATGAGCATAATAGAAAGCTAAATAGATAGCATCGAACTAACAATTACAAAAACACTGACAATTTTAATTTTCTACAAACTGTCCGAATAAATAAGACATTTATATTAAATACCGTGACGTTATCCGTATCTTATGAGCTGTCATATCTGATACTAAACGTCACAACTGGTGAATGATAACATGGTCATGTGATAAAGGCATAGATTAGGCTGATATATTAAATTCATCATCGTGAAATATAAAATAAATATTATAATTAATAAATATACCAATATACTGAAGCACAGTTATGTTTAATTCCCCCTACAGAACCATTTCCTTGCCAGACTAGTCTTACTGGTCACGATGGTCATGTAATGGCTGGTGAAGAGATAATATTGACATGTACGTCATGTAGTAGTAATCCACAAGCTGAGTTAATATGGTATGTAGATGATATGGAAGTACAAGATGGACTCAGTGTACCACGTTATACACATGCAGAATACAATGGGAAGCAAACATCACAGAATCTAACAAAGTTAATGACATACTTGGACCATGGTGCGGTGATTTATTGTGAGGCGTATAATCCTGAATTCAATGAAGAAATGAATTCGTCCAATAAAACCGTACTGAATGTGCACTGTGAGTAAGAGGGTCACTGTGGCATTAATGCAATATGTTTTATTAGTGTTCCATCTTTGATACTATTTTATAAGTCCCCGTTCGAAGGAAGTCCATTCGTCCCTCCGTCCTTCCATCTATCTGTCCATTGTTTTACATTGTACATTATATATTACATGTCCACTACAATTAGTGACAGCCATCTCGCTTTTTGATTCATGGCCGAGGGATCATATTCATTCATATATGACAAATAGTCTTGTCAGTGTTTTCCATAAACAGATCAAAGATGGCCGACGGTCAGCAATATTCCTTCTTAACCATACTTCTACATCTCCGAGGCTTAGGAACCTTTTTATTATTATCTAACACAAGCATCATAAATATGGGAATACATATCCATATCCGTTTGTTTTATAATATTCTTTATGGACTGTATACGTCTTTTGCGTTCTTGGGTCGTGCGGCGGAAGCGCGCGAGCTCACGAGTGCCCGTAAGCCGTACGACGGAGAGCAGCAAAACGCGTATCCAGTCCATAAAGGCTTTATCATATACCTTATATAAAAGAAATGTATTTAGTTATATTATTTTTGCTTGACTGACCTCAAAAGAAAACCTATTCGATTTAATCCGGGTTTCGATAGGGCTTTTTTAATGACTTTTACTGATTTATACGGGGAATTCTAAACGACGCAAACAACTCTCACACAATACACAAACAAATGTCGCCAAATGTATCCACAAATTACGTTTTAATGAAACAGCAAATGAACATAAATTTATAACAATACTTTAACGGTAATAAATACGAACCCATAATAAACTTTCTTTTTTAAGAATGAGCACTACAGTCCAGCTAAGTTGGTCGTTTACTGACTGTCAGAATAATCCATAACAAACGGACGTTTCCTTGGAGTAGAAACACGTTGATTTCACAGTTAATAAAAACTGTAGTCGGTGAACGAGTAACAATTGCTTGACGAGAAACAGTTTGGTTTTCATTTCACGATTCGGGCGTAGCACGACTAAGAATATCTGAAATGCGCCGATGATCTTCCATAGAGACAGTATCATAGTGCTGTAAACTTGACACGTTTTTGTGACCAATAATCTTTGTGATTTGTTGTGGTTCCGGCTTTTGTCAGGGTAATAATGAGTCCAACTGGTCTTTTGGTATATTCCCATCCACTGAAAAATATCGTCAGCTATAAACAAAGCGCTGACGATAATCTCAAATTACGCGCGTTGTTTGTAAACGGAAAGTAGTTCCAGGAAATAGACGCGTTTACCAAATATGGCAAACGGGGCTCGGGATA